TTGAGAGCCTGCTTGCTGCTTCCTAGCGTGGCAGGGGCATCACATAGTGAGAAAGAGTAAGCTTGCTGGCCCCGGTGTCTTCTTACAAAGCCACTAATGCCATCCTGGGGGCCCCACCCTCATCACCTGATCTAATCCTAATGACCTCCCAGATGTGTCACCTCCAGATACTGTCATGTCATGAACTTTTGTCAAATTTCCCTCGTTATTACTGCTGCCACATTGCCAACCTAATTTCAGCACATGAATATGGGGGAGAGGGATGGGGTACATTCTAATCTTAGCTTCTGATTTTCTTGTATTTCAACTTAAAGTCTTGAGATCTTCAATTTAAATAACTGTAAATTTCATTGTATACCTGTCTTGGAAGTCTTCACATGCATGAGACATAAACATCAACTAATTTTATTTACATTGATATAAAATGACCCCAGGAAGAAAGTCATAGCTACACTATTTATGATAATAACTTAGGTTATATGAAGCCTTAGAGATAATATACTGTAACTTTGCATTTTTCCTGTGGAAAAATAAAGGCTCAAACCTGCCTCAATTCTGCTTTCACTACAGAATATCAAAATCAGACCCCATGTCTCCAGATTGCCCGTGAAGTGTCTTTCAGTTTTATTGTTCCATCCTGTAGAGCCAGAGTTGTTTGTTCTTCATAGCGCACAGTTTGACCTACAGAATGATGGTGCATTCTTACTGAGATACTGCCTACAGTAGATTGTTCATTGCAAAGCCTTCATCTCTAACTCTTTTCACCTTTGACACTTCAAAACCCACATTCTTTTAGGTATACTTCACTGCTTCCTTTAGAACTTTTGCTATAAGAATATCCCAAAATGGGACCAGCATTGTGACACAGGGGTTAAGCTGCAGCCTTCAGTGCCAGCATCCCACATGGGCACTGGTTCCTGTCCTGGCCACTCTACTTCCAGTCTAGCTTACTGCTAGTGTACCTGGGAAAACAGCAGAAGATGGCCCAAGTCCCTGGACCCCTGCACCCATGTGGGAGACCTCGAAGAAGCTCCTGGCTCCTGGCTTCGGCCTGGCACAGCCCAAGCCATTATGGCCATTTGAAGAGTAAACAGTGAAAAAAAATTCTCTCTCTATCTCTGTGTGTGTGTGTGTGTCCTTCACTTTGTAACACTGTCTTTCAAATAAACACATAAATCCTTTAAAAAAAAAAAAAAAAAAAGCTTCCTTAGGCCAGCACTATGGCATAGTGGGTAAAGCCTCTGCTTGCATCACCGCCATCCCATATTGGTACCACTTCATGTACAGCTGCACCACTTCCAATCCAGCTCCCTGCTGATGGCCAGTGAAGGATGGCCCAACTACTTGGACCCCTACACTGGTGTGGGAGACCCAGGGGAAGCTTCTGGCTCCTGGCTTCAGATGGGCCCAGCTCCAGCCACTGGCAGCCATTTAGGGAGTGAACCAGTGAATGGAAGATCTCTGTCTCTCCCTCTCTGTGGTGCTACGTCTCAAATAAATACATAAAATTTAAAAAAAAAAAAAGATTATCCCAAAATTGGGGCACGATTTGGCCTAGAAGTTAAAACATTTGTTGGGATGCTTGCACCCCGTATCAGAGTCCCTGGCTCCATTTCCAGTTCCTGCTTCCTGCTGATGCAGACCCAAAAAGGCAACAGATTATGGCCCAAATAATTGGGTCCCTGCCTCCCACTTGGAGACTTAAATTGAGTTCCCAGCTCCTGGCTTTGACCTGGCTTAGCACTTGCCATTTGTGGTTATTTGAGGATTAAACTGGTGAGTGAGAGTCCTGTCTTTGTCTCTGTCTCTCGCATTCTCTCTCCCCGCCCCCATCTCTGACAATAACTAAATACATTTTTAAATGGTAACCATTAATATGAGGAACTTAAAAGATTTTAAAAAGAATATGCCATAACTCTTTATCCAAAGAAGTTATGGAACATGTACTCTATAGAATACTATACAGCAGTAAAAAACAATGAAATCTGATCATTTGCAACAAAATGGAGGAATCTGGAAAACATCATGCTGAGTGAAATAAGCCAGTCCCAAAGGGACAAATATCATATGTTCTCCCTGATCAGTGACAACTAACCGAGCACCTAAAAGGAAACCTGTTGAAGTGAAATGGACACAATGAGAAACAGTGACTTGATCAGCCCTTGTCCTGACTGATGATGTACAACTTAATACTTTATCCCTTTTAGTATTTTTTTGTTCTACTTAATACTATTGGTTGAACTCTGTAATTAACACACAATTATTCTTAGGTGTTTAAATTTAACGGAAAAGTGATTTCTGTTAAATATAAGAGTGGGATTAAGAGAGGGAGAAGATGTACAATTTGGGACATGCTCAAGCTGACTTGCCCCAAATGGTAGAGTTAGAAACGTGCCAGGGGATTCCAATTCAGTCCCATCAAGGTGGCAGGTACCAATGCCATCTCACTATTCCAAGTGATCAATTTCAGTTCACAATTGATCATAATGATAGGTCTAAGAGTCAAAGGGATCACATAAACAAGACTAGTGTCTGCTAATACTAACTGATAGAATTAAAAAGGGAGAGAACAACCCAACATGGGAAACGGGATACACAGCAGACCCATAGAATGGCAGATGGCCTAATAAGAACTCTGGCCTCAGAATCAGCCCTTAAGATATTCAGATCTGGCTGAAGAGCCTATGAGTGTATTATAGGCATGGAAAGCCAAGACACTGTGACCAAAAAAAAAAAAAAAAAAAAAAGAAATGACCTAAATGAAAGATCTCTGCGAGTGAGGAAGAAGTGCTCTCTGCGAGTGAGCCATCAAAGAAGGAGGTACCTTTCTCTGAAGGGAGGAGAGAACTTCCACTTTGTGGCCTTGTCGAAACAAGATCAAAGTCAGCGAGCTCAGGGGCCTTCCATGGTCTTGGCAACTCATGACTAGAGCCTGGGGAGATTGCTGACACCTCAAACAAGAGTGTTAATTTGTTAAGTCAACAACAGGAGTCACTGTGCACCTATTCCTCATGTAGGATCTCTGTCCTTAATGTGTGGTTCAATGTGAATTAATGCTATGACTAGTACTCAAACAGTATTTTGCACTTTGTATTCTGTGTGGGGGCAAACTGATGAAATCTTTACTTAATATATACTAAATTGAACTTCTGTTTATAAAGATAATTGAAAATGAATCTTGATGTGAATGGAATGGGAGAGGGAGTGGGAGATGGGAGGGTTGTGGGTGGGAGGGAAGTTATGGGGGGGGAAAAAGCCATTGTAATCCATAAGCTGTACTTTGGAAATTTATATTTACTAAATAAAAGTTAAAAAAAAAAATTTTGAAATATCTCCTTGCTCTCTTATTCTTATAATTAATATAATGTTCTTGTGGGAAGGAAATTCTTAACATTTTAACAGTATAGTGTACCATTGATCTTTATTAATGGGATCTCAGCGTTATGTTAGTCTGAAAGGCAGTGATGGGTTTTGCTTAAATCAGAGTGATATATGATGATGTGCCTAATCAAAATGGTAATAACAACTGTGATTTGTTGAATGTTCTTTCCATGGAAGACTCTTTAAGGATATTAGCATACATGCATTATCTCTCATTCTCACAACCACCCCGTTAATACAAAAAGTTCTGTTCCCATTTTATCAAAAGAAACTGAGTCAGAAGGGCTGAGTAGCTTGCCCATGTAGACATGACCAGTAATTTCTGCATTTGAAAAGGTCTTTCCTGACCACAAGGCTTTTGCTCTTTCTACTTCATCATACTATTATATGCTCAACGATTACTCAACAAATTAGGAACATATAAGAGCATTGCATTTTTTTTTATTTCCTCATCTTTATTTCTTGGAAATGTTGTTTTCTAAAGACTGTTTTTATTTAATAAATATAAATTTCATAGGTATAGATTATGGAATATAGCAGTTTTTCCGAACAATACCCACCCTCCCACCCCCACTCCCTCTCCCATCCCATTCTTCATTGAGATTCATTTTAATTAGCTTTATATACAGAAGGCCAACTCTTTATTAAGTAAAGATTTTAATAGTTTGCACCCACACAGACACACAAAGCATAAAGTACAGTTTGAAGACTAGTTTTACCGTTAATTCTCATAGTACAACTCATTAAGGACAGAAGTCCTCCATGGGGAGCAAGTGCACAGTGACTCCTGTTGTTGATTTAACAATTGACCCTCTTGTTTATGACGTCAGTGATCACGTGAGGCTCTTGTCATGAGCTGCCAAGGCTGTGGAAAACTTTTGAGTCCACAGATTCCGTCAGTATTTAGATAAGGCCAAAAGCAAAGTGGAAGTTCTCTCCTCCCTTCAGAGAAAGTTACCTCCTTCTTTGATGCCCCTTTCTTTCCGCTGGGATCTCATTCACAGAGATCTTTCATGTAGGCCATTTTCTGCCACAGTGTTTTGGCTTTCCAAGGGCATTGCATTTAATGAAATAGATTACTGATGAGGTAAAATTCTTGGACAAATACATGATTTAAACTGTTTATAAAACACCTTTAGCATTTCAGTAGCAAAACACAATAGGAATTTGTTTATTCACCCCCATAAAGTTTAAAATGAGCGATGGATAAACAGTCTCCAAGCATTCATTCAGGGACCGAGGCTCTTTACATCTTGTGATTCTGCCAGCCTCATGTGGCTTCCCAGATAGAAAGAGCTTGGAGAACCATACTTAGATGGTTTGTATGGGCAAGGCCTAACGTGACATATGACTTCCACTTGCATTCTGGTGGCTAGAACTGGGCTCTGTAACCATATATCATCACAGAGCAGACTGTGTAATAAAGTCTGCTGGTACCCAGGAAGAAGAGGAAATGAGTTAGGGAAACAGCTGGCCAGTCTCTGCCATAGAATCCTTCATGTTTACACTGTACTGTTTAAACCGTGTAGGCAAATAGTAAATAAGAGTTGTTATTCTTACTTTTCTATATTCTTTCACTTTGTAATGTTTTTCTGGATGGGGGTTTGACTCTGTTTTAGGTCCAGAGCATCATTCGCTCCCAAACCAGCATGGGGATGCGCCACCGGGACCGCTCTACCACTGGTAACACCCTCAAGTCTGGCTTGTGTTCAGCCCTCACAACCTACTTTTTTGGAGCTGATCTCAAGGGGAAACTGACAATCAAGAACTTCCTCGAATTTCAGCGTAAACTTCAGCATGATGTTCTCAAGCTAGAGGTAGGTGGTCCTGAGACTTCAGGAGATCTAGCATGTATACACTCAGGCGGGCCTGTGCTATAGGCATTCATTCATCTCCCTCCTGCTGTGCAGCCTGATTGGTTTGAACCTTATCAGTGACAGCAGGTAGGTAATAACACATTCTGTGAAAATGTCAAGGAGTAATGAGACTCTGGAACAGGGAGCCAACAACGTCTAAATTGAAAAGCTTAGATGCCTTTGGATGCCCCGGCGGAGGGAAGAGGTTCCGGGGGCTGAGTGGTTCTCAGCCTGAGCAGATCTCCCCGGTTTTGTTAATGTGTGAAAGACACTAGAAGGTGATGGGGGATGGGAGGATTGGGGAATAATATGTAAGCCTTTCTATCAAAGTTTATGAATACCAACAGCTGGAAACACAAAATGTCAGAATATGTATGCCTGAAGTTGGAAAGGGATCTTCCTGTGTTTGGGGAATGATGAGTTTACTTTTCCACTTTTAGACCTTCATGCTATTTGGTCCCTGGACACAGCTCTTTAAGAGTATTAGTATTTTCAGTATTTTCTCCATGTGTGTTGAATTAAGTACATTTGAGGTTAATTGGCTGTTGGTTCTGTTCAATTCAAAACATTCATCAGCTGCATCAATGTGTATATATACTTATGTCTGGACACAAAAAATGAGGTTTTTAATTTCTTGATATTTTAAAATATTCTCTTTATGTGGGTATTTTTCAACCTCTTCTTTTGTTTCAATAGATGCCCTACTTTACTACTGTTTGAAATTTCCATTACGTACTGTGACTAAAAACACCAGAAAACATTGGAAGAAAGTGCTACTTTGTCTTGTTTTTAAAGATTTATTTTATTTACTTAAAAGGCAGAATTACAGAGTGAGCTTCCATCCGCTGGTTGACTCCCCAAATAGCCATAACAGCCGGAGCTGGGCCAGGCCAAAGCCAAGAGCCAGGAGCTTCCTTTGGGTCTTCCACATGGGTCAAGGGTCCGAACCCTTGGGCCATCTTTCTCTGCCTTCTCAGGCACATTAACAGGGAGCTGGATGGAAAGTGGAGCAGCCAGCCAGGTCTTGAACCAGTCCCATATGGCTGCGGTAGTGCTGCAGGCAGCGGCTTTACCAACTACACCACAGTGCCGGCCCTCTAGTTTGTTTTTAAACCATGTTTTCCACTTTTATCTGCTCTTCCTTCTTTCCCTGAGATTCTGATGCACTGATCACACCTTTTCCACCCCCCTGACTGAGTTGAAACAGTTTGAAAAATTACAGCCAAATTCCAGTTATCCATAAGAATGCTGTTCAGTGTTCACACTCTAGGAGAAAAGCAGAAAGACTAGTAATAGGAAGGATCACATCAAACCTTAAATGTGCTTTTATAATTGATTTTTGAAAATGATATAATTTATACTCGAGGGGCTGGCGCTGTGGCATAATGGGTGAAACTGCTGCCTGCAGTGCTGGCATCCCATATCAGCGCCGGTTCGAGTCCCAGCTGCTCCTCTTCTGATCCAGCTCTCTGCTGTAGCCTGGGAAAGCAGTAGAGGGTGGCCCAAGTCCTTGGGCCCCTGCACCCACATGGGAGACCTGGAAGAAGCTCCTGGCTCCTGGCTTTGGATTGGCGCAGCTCCAGCCATTGAGGCCAATTGGGGAGTGAACCAGCGGATGGAAACTTTCTCTCTCTCTCTGTCTGTCTCTCTCTCTGTCTGTCTGTCTCTCTCTCTCTCTCTCTCTGCTTCTCCTCTCTCTGTATAACACTGACTTTCAAATAAAGAAATCATTAAAAAATAATTTAAGAATTTACCTCCAAAAATAACTCAAATAATGGAGTTCTGCAGTTGTTCCAGAGCTTCTTGTGGAGGCACTTGTAGCCTCCTGATGGTGGCAGGTGCTGCGTGGATACGGAAGTCAGTGAATGCTGCCTGCGTTGAGCGGCTCCACAGCTCCCCGTCCCAGTTCCCTCAGCGCTGGCGGGTAGGTAACTTCCTCTGTCTAGTGCAGACCCGAAGCTAAGGAAGTATCAGGAAAGGGGCCAAGTGGGTGCGTTTCAGCAGCTTGTCTCCGCTGCGTGCAGAGCAGTGTGATACATCAGCCTAGCTAACTGTGCCAAAAGAATTCAACAATAATTGAGGCAAACCTGATTATTGGGTCAGCTCTTCATTAACCACAAGAGTAATCATAAAGCAACCAGAAAACCTCAGTTTCTTAGTATTCTAGTTAGCTGAAGCTTTGTTTTTGCCTGGTTATACACAGAGAGCTTTCTCTCCAGGATAACCACAGTACTCTGGTTCTTGCCAGTTACCTTGCCACATTAAACCATAGGAGATAATCAGCCTCAAAATAAAAGTTTACTGGAGCCAGCACTGTGGCCCAATGAGATAAACCACAGTCTGCAGTGCCAGAACCCCATATGGCACTGGTTCAAATCCCAATTGCTGTACTTCCAATCCAGCTCCCTGCTAATGCACCTGGGAAAGCAGCAGAAGATGGCCCAAATCCTTGGGTCCCTGCCATCCACTTGGGAGACCTGGAGGAGGCTCCTGGCTCCTGGCTTCAGCCTGGTCCAGTCCTGGTCTAAGTGTGATCCCATCGGGGCAGTGAACCAGCAGATGGATGATCTCTCTCTCTATATATATATATCTGTCTCTATCTCTCTCTCTGTAACTCTGACCTTCAGATAAATAAAAATAGATCTTTTAAAAAAATAAAAGTTCACAGAATGATTATATGTCTAACAGCATTTAAGCATTAGGCTTTTAGAAGTTTATTTAGAAATCTTAATGTTATCACATTATCTGAAGTAATTGATACCAGCATTTCAGATTTCAGATTGCTTGGGATTTTGGAATATTTGCATATACATGATGAGATATATTGGAGATGGGACTCGGGTCTAAACATGAAATTCATTTAGGTTTCATGTATACTTTACGCACATTACCTTAAGGTAATTTTATGTAATATTTTTAGTGCACCTGCATTTTGACTCCAACCCATCACAGGCAATCAGGTGTGGAGTTTTCCACTTCTTTCGTCCCATCAGTGCTCAACAAGTTTGGGATTTTGAAACATTTTAGATTCTAGTTTGTGTGTGTGTTTTGAAAGGCAGAGTGACAGAGAGGGAGACAGAGGAAGAGATCTTCTAACCACTGCTCCAAACCCAAATGGCCACAACAGCCAGGATGGCCCAGGCTGAAGCCAGGAACCAGGAATTCCATCTGGGTCTCCCACATGGGTGGCAGGAGCCATCTTCAGCTGCTTTCCCAGGCACACTAGCAGGGAGCTGATTTGGAAGCAGGGCTGCTGGGACTCTGACTGATGCTCCAATATGGTATGCCGGCATCAGCATTGATAGTGCCATAATGCAGGCCCCAGGTTATAGAGTTTGGGGCTAGAAATGTTTGACCTATATTTTCACTCTAAGGAAATTGTGTTTTGTCCATTGTTTTATGTTGGACTGGGTATTTTTATATATAAAATAAAGGGATACTTGAAAATGTGGAAAAATGGAAATGAAAATTTAAGGAATTTTGGAATTTTTGTGTTTTTTTTCATAATATGCAGTTTTCATGTACTTTATGAAGTTTATGTAAGGATTTCAAAGTTCTTACACCAAAACAAACATCTTTTAATTCAGTTTTCCCTGAACTTTTTGAAGTGCTCTCAAAGATGCTATAATAAAAAATATATATGTAAGTATACAAACTTAACTTTGTGAAGTTTGCATCCTTATAGGAATATTCCCATATATTTCTCAGAGTATAAAAGGAGTAGGTCTTGTCCAACAATTGCTGTGTAAGAGTTGTGGTGTATTCTGCTTCAGGTCGTATGCCATGGTCCCCAAGTATGCATACCCAGACTGGCCATCTTTGGAAACATTACAGCGTCATCCAACAATATCAATTATTTAACTTATAAATTATATAATTACAATTTAACCTAGAGATCCATAAGATGTAGTTACAGAATAAAGCACACAGTAGGACAGTACTTTTAACAAACTTTGAAGAGCAAATATGAGGTCAACCAACAGGCTGAGTAGGTGCCATTCTGACCACAATGTGGCCCAGTACTCATTCCAGGAGTTTAGAGATAGTTCATAGGATTTTTACCTTGTATTCTGAGATCAAGTACAACTGAAAGCTCATTAACATGCTATATAGATTGCCAATGAGGTAAAAAGTTACACAGCAGAGGAGAGATTTTATACATGTGTCATTTGCATATAGCATACATCCACATGCAGAAGAAAAAAGAAATAAAAGGCAGTTTATCTAAGAAACTCATTCTAGAAGGCTCCCTTATGTTTGACATTGGTTTAGGATTACCTGTAAGCATTTGACCAAGACTCTCTAATTACCAGTAAACAACTCTTCATATGAGAGGACTTATAAACTCTTTTTTGAAACAAACTAACCTAATAAATAGTAAGCGTTCTATAAGTGGTTATTAATCCTGAATTCTTTCTAAGTAATGGCACAAGTCTAGTGAATATGTACTTGTGTATCCATAGATCCTTATTTAAATTCTCATCACTCAGTACTGTGTCTTCCCAACTAGATTTGTATTTCTTTGAAGTAGAAATAGCAGAAAAAGGGGCGGTGCTGCGGCTCACTAGGCTAAGCCTCCCCCTGCGGCGCCAGAACCCCAGGTTCTAGTCCCGGTTGCCCCTCTTCCAGGCCAGCTCTCTGCTGTGGCCCGGGAGTGCAGTGGACGATGGCCCAGGTGCTTGGGCCCTGCACCTGCATGGGAGACCAGGAGAAGCACCTGACTCCTGGCTTCGGATCGGCACAGCGCACTGGCCGTAGCGGCCGTTTTGGGGGTGAACCAACGGAAGGAAGACCTTTGTCTCTTGTCTCTCTCTCTCTCACTGTCTAACTCTGCCTGTCAAAAAAAGAAAAGAAAAAAGAAAAGAAATAGCAGAAAAAGCATAATCTTTAGTGCTAATGATACCTTGGTTAAAATTTTGGTTCTGCCACTCACTGGCTGTGTAACATTCGATGTGTCTTGG